TAATGAGAACATTATGAGATCAGAGTTTTTCAGAATCTGTGCCAAACAGTTATTTAACAGACAATTTGTTTTCTGCTGTCTAATTTACTTTTCTGTGGGTGATATTTTGTTTTTAAATGATGACAAATTCTCAGAATAATATTTGGTTTGGAAGTCTAGAAATACCACATCATTTGTGGTAGTCAAATCTGATGTCTAGTGAGGTGTTAGTTGAAGTAGTACAGTACATTACAGTGATAGTCTCAAAAAAGTTAACTGTCTATATACTATATACACATAACTTTATCATTTTCATCAGTGGACCACTGCTAATATTTATATCAGACTATTAATCTGAAATATCAAATGATAGAAATAATCACTATAGCGATAGCACCATAGAAACCAAAACATTGCTGTGTCTATTGGAATGTCGCCAAAAATTGCTACGGGTACACCAAGTTTATCAATACAATACAAAGTAATTTGTCAATGCCAACACAAATAAGCTTTTCAAAATAGAGAAATAGGAAAATAAAAACTGTACATTAAACATATACCTTTGAATGCCTTGGGTTACATAGAGTTGAACTGAATGACCTCAGCAAGACATCTATCAATAATATGTCCAACACATAGAGTCAGTTAATCCAAACATGTGCAAATATTTCAATGTTTTTAGTGTCACATTGACTATCCCAGAATGCTGTTTGTATGAACATGAATCAAATGCAGAGATTCAACACAGTGGCAAGCACAACACCATGGTTTTTGCCTAGTGGAATGGTAGCCTAGGTACCTGGTGGAGCTGACGCTATACACTGTGTGTGCATGTGTGTGTTTGTGCACTGTCAAAGCATGATGAATTGAAATAAACACTCCATACCTTGTCAATAAAACTGTGAATACAAAAACCAACAAAGAAAACATAAGAGCAACCAGCACCAATAAATGGTATGAAGCCCAGTCAATAGAACACGTACATACCCTGCAGAATTATTAGTCAGTTACCCGCAGCTACCTACAATAACTTAAACAATATATGAAAACAATATTGTTAACGGCTTCATTTATTTTTGCTTCATCCACTCAATAAAATTACTTAATTGGATATCCATTTCTCTAGACTATACAAACGTCATAATACCCGATAACTGGAAATCACGACTCTAGACTATAAACAAGTTTGAAATATCTAAGGTAAACATACATAAGAGACCCGAATTAAGGAGTTTCTGAATTGTTCATCTGTTAGGGGTATACATATGAATACAGATTTATGACCTCGCGATGACCCTATCGGTCAATAAATACCTACCAACTTATTAGCGCATGGTTAATTTAACGTAGGGAACACACCCATATCTACACAATACAATTATAGCTGTACAGTATTCTACTCAGCTTGTGCTCTTCCCTCCAATGTCTTTTCATAAGATTTTATAGCAATTATTATTTCATTTAATGTTATTTTAATCACTAACCATATTTTCTAAGGTCTGTGCTTTCACTACCAGTTCTCTCTTTTCATCACAAATTTCCAACATAGTGCTGTTTATAGTCTGCACTTTCCTTCAGAAGATTAGAACAAAAAGAGCAATTTTTTTTTTAGTAAAAACTGAAAATTGAATCAAATTTTGTCTGTTTACTTCAAAATTAGGGTTCATTTCCAGAAATATTGAAGAATATAAGAAAAAAAGTACAGTCAAATTTAAACGAGAATGTCTGGTGATGAAAAGATTAATGTAACAAATAATAGCCAGATTCTAGATTGCTTACAAATTCTTGACAAATATTAAGCACTAAAAAAAGTGTACCATATTTATTTTATTGGAAGTGTATACTGAATTTTCTCTACCGTATGTTCTTCTAATAGAAGTGCATCTCAAACAGCAGTGCATTAAAAGCAAAAATTGACTGTATACTATATAATTGACATGTTTTATTTGGACTATAGATTTGTCTTTTACATAAAGTGTATTTAATAGTCCAAGAGCAAATATGGAAATATCCAATAAAAAACAAATAGACCAAATATCACATTTTTTGTATATTTTGTACTCTGTACTTAACATCTCTACTAATTGAGCAAATATGGTATCATGTTTACAGTCAGCAAATATCAGAAAAGCTTTTATAACCATGCATGGTGACTTGCATTTGAATATTTCAAGAAGCACACATGGCTACTAGGGGCTAGCATATTTTTATGGCCACTAGGGGGCACAACTCCAGCATATTTTTATGGTCACTAGGGGGCACAACTCCAGCATATTTTTATGGCCACAAGAGGGCACAACTCCAGCATATTTTTATGGTCACTAGGGGGCACAACTGCAGCATATTTTTATGGCCACTAGGGGGCACAACTCCAGCATATTTTTATGGCCACTAGGGGGCACAACTCCAGCATATTTTTATGGTCACTAGGAGGCACAACTCCAGCATATTTTTATGGTCACTAGGAAGCACAACTCCACCATATTTTTATGGCCACTAGGGGCACAACTCCAGCATATTTTTATGGCCACTAGGGGGCACAACTCCAGCATATTTTTATGGTCACTAGGGGGCACAACTCCAGCATATTTTTATGGCCACTAGGGGGCACAACTCCAGCATATTTTTATGGTCACTAGGGGGCACAACTCCAGCATATTTTTATGGTCACTAGGGGGCACAACTCCAGCATATTTTTATGGTCACTAGGGGGCACAACTCCAGCATATTTTTATGGTCACTGGGGGGCACAACTCCAGCATATTTTTATGGCTCACTAGGGGGCACAACTCAAGCATATTTTTATGGCCACTAGGGGGGCACAACTCCAGCATATTTTTATGGTCACTAGGGGGCACAACTCCAGCATATTTTTATGGCCACTAGAGGGCACAACTCCAGCATATTTTTATGGCCACTAGGGGGCACAACTCAAGCATATTTTTATGGCCACTAGGGGGCACAACTCCAGCATATTTTTATGGTCACTAGGGGGCACAACTCCAGCATATTTTTATGGTCACTAAGGGGCACAACTCCAGCATATTTTTATGGCAACTAGGGGGCACAACTCCAGCATTTTTTATGGCCACTAGGGGGCACAACTCCAGCATATTTTTATGGTCACTAGGGGGCACACCTCTAGCATATTTTTATGGCCACTAGGGGGCACAACTCCATCATATTTTTATGGTCACTAGGGGGCACACCTCTAGCATATTTTTATGGCCACTAGGGGGCACAACTCCAGCATATTTTTATGGCCACAAGGAGGCACAACTCCATCATATTTTTATGGCCACTAGGGGGCACAACTCCATCATATTTTTATGGTCACTAGGGGGCACACCTCTAGCATATTTTTATGGCCACTACGGGGCACAACTTCAGCATATTTTTATGGCCACAGCATATTTTTATGGCCATTTAGATCAGATTGAATCCAACATGAAGCTGGACAAAGATTTTGAAATTCTAATTTTCTTTCACAGAAGTAAGTTGATAACAGGGGAAAGAATAGTTTCATAAAAACAACTATTAATTTAATAAAAGTGAATATTTCTAAAATGAAAACAACTTACCTGTAAGATGAAGTAGAGTACAGCACTGTGATGGGAAAATTTACTCACCAGACAGGTTTACTGGTGTAATTTATAAATCACACTGTAGCTTCATATATAATTAAAACACACACAGTACGCACGTACACGCACGTAATACAAAACAAAACATTATCATACACACATTACAAAGCAATGCTACAATTACAGACACATACCATACATACTAAAATAAAGAAAACAAATTCCAAGCCTAAATGTATAAACATATATAGCTGCAGAACTGGTTACAAACCATACTTAAATGCTGATAGGTTGATAGTTATGCATAACTTACATAAGTGCTTCATTGATTGGACAATTGTACACTTACCATCATCAGACAATGGTTCCATCTTTTCTTGATCACACTCAATATGCACCGGTTTAGGAAATAACGGTCCGTGTTCTGGTGGCCAAAATGGTCCATCAAGAGTCAAGATAACATCATTACTGTCAATATACTTTCCATCTTTCAATTGTTTCAACCTTGAGCCGTCACGCACCTTGCCTCGCTTTATAGCATTACGAAACCCAGGTCTTGTATATCGACCGAAAACTTCATTTCTTATTGCACGCTCTGTCAAATCGTATTCCTTTTGAGTTGGGTTGATTCCTGCTCCATCATCATCATCGCTACTCGTGTCATCAAGGTTTCCGTTGACAACACGATTATTTTGATACTTATCCTTCATACTGTCAAAATTGCCATTTTGATCATGCCTCATGCTGCCATCTTTATTCTGTTTTTCAGATGCATAATACGAGTTCCTGTGAATGTATCGCTGAAATCTCTTTCTATCCTCCTCATTTGAAGCACTGCCATATGATATTGAACTATCATCTGCAAAATGAACTTGGCTTTGTAAAATGTCTCTAATTTGATGAGGCCTTTTCTCAGAGTACTCACGACACTTATCAAGAGATAAGGTCACATTCGGGGCAAAATCTCTGCAAAATAACAGATAAATCATCAGTACATTAAAAGTTGTAAAAACAAAATATTTTATCAATCCTAACTCTAGAGGTCACTCTTTGGTGAAAAAACGATTTTGCAGATTCTATTTTAATAAAAATTAATTATAGTTTTAATTATGCTTTGACATTTGAAATTGGTTTCAGATATGTTCAATCTTTACAAAAAACATGAAAATCAATTTCACTGAAAGGAATATTACACTGATGTTAAGTTTTAGTAAAAACAAAGAATTAATTAGTCTTGCCTATAGAGGGCTCTGTCACACATAATGCACATGATACTGGAATGTTGTATTGTTATATATGTGTGTTATGACAACTAGCCATTGTCCAGTAATAATACATTTAACAAAGACACTATTGATGCAACTTGGCTGAATATAAATGCCTTTGGTGTATAGTTTTGTCAAGGATCTGATTCTTAGACACAACTACAATGAAGGGGGATTCACAGCCTTTGTCAGATAAATAAAAACTTCAAATTTTTGCACGTGTTCATGATCTTAATAGGGTAAACAACACATGCAGTGAATAATCAGGTTGGACAGTGCTTCCAGACACTAAGGTCTGACTTTAGAGTTTTAGAACCCTTTAAATGTTGCGGTACATTTTATGTAGTTTTTTTTATAATTTCTTTGCTAATTTCTTACCAGGTAATTATTAAATTTAAAAAAAAATATTGTTTGATTTTTTTCTTTATTTAGTAGTGACTTCCTAATCGTTTTGAACCCATCATTTTTCCCATCAACAATTTGGTGAAAATTTTGTATTTTTGGTCTAAATATTTGAAAAATTACTGAAAAAATAATGTGACACTTAAGTTTTAAAATGGAGTGTTGATAACACAAGTCAGTCTTACTGTGAAAGTCTTTCTTGATACCGTAATCTGGCTCTTTCTCTATTCCGTCTTATCCGTTCCAATGGTGGTGTTTCTAGTGCATCTCTTACTCTTTGTTCTAGTTCTTCCTCTATTTGACTTCGAATGTTTTCTCTCCATGACTCAGGTTCTGTAACGAATTAGAGCAATAAATCATAATGTATTCAGGTTACAGGGCCATTGACAAGAATTTCCCCCATTGAGTGATAATAAATCAAAATATATTCAGGTTACAGGGCCATTC